TATCATTGATGAATTTTTTAAAAATATATATTTTTACTCCTCCACATTTGGGGGGGCGGAGCCCGAGCACCCCCTATGGGCCAGCCGCCACTGACTGTGGGTAATTTAGAATAACCAGTTACCCTTACAATGAATTTTTTCCCCCGCCTGTCCTGTTTGGTTCTTTTGCCATCAGAATTGTCTAAAGGCAAAGAAAGATGGATTTACTTTACCAAATGGAACATCCCGGCCTTGCCGTATTGGTCTATTTGATCTACTTTGTTTTTATTGTTTATTTTATTTTCACTTACTACACACGGGACAGACATGACTGGGGGAAAAAGGGAGAAAGAAAGAGGTAGGGAAAGAAAAACAGCGGGGAAGAGGAACAGTGATAAAGGGCAAGAAACAAAAACCAACAAAACAAACAGACAAAAAATACATATATCAGTCACCTGGATCACTTGTTGAGAAAGAAAAAGAGAAAACAAGGGGGAAAAAAGAGAGCAATATAATAAACAACATCATCACGATAATCTATGTGAATATAACAGTAAATACTAAATATTGAATATTATTGTGCAGCACGTAGGATCGACAGCGCACAGTGTGCTTTGAGGTAGGAGCCAAAAAGGGTGTAGTTTGTGTCTGTGAGCACCCGTGTGTACACCTGTGAGCATGAGCGCGCTTGTATTTAAAGGGTTCCTTCATGTGATGATCTGCTAGAGGGCGTGGGGAACCGCTTTGGGTTTTTTGCACGTGGGTTTGATATTTGGTACTCGGCCTCCGGCCATTTTGTGACAGTACAAATTGGCCATGTGAAGGACAAACCCAGCAGACCCAATGCGGGCGGCACTCGCTAAACAGAGGGCCATTCTGGGAACTCACGAGCGGGCCTTACAAACACTTAGTGCTCAGTGTCAGGTAATCAGTGAGTCACAGGAAAAGATATTAGCCTCCATTCAACAGCTTCAATCTGCGCTGCCGTCTCAGCCAAGTATGTCCACTTGGATGTCTGAGAGTATTTCACCGCGCGCTAAATGATGAATTAAAGGACCAATTAGCCTCTCGTGACAAGCCCGAGACTTTTGAAGATCTGGTTTCTCTCACCCTTAGAATTGACAACAGGCTAAGGGAGAGAGAGGCTGAGAAAAAACGTTCAGTTCGCAAGCCAGCATATCTTGCACCACCAATTTACCTTCCCTGCCCGTCACTTCCGGCAACAACATCCGCCGGTCCTGTAGCTAATAGGGCAGATGCTCCGGAACCCATGCAAATAGGCCATTCACGTCTCACTCCCGAAGAGAGAGAGCGACGTCTCCATTCAGGTGCATGCTTTTACTGCGGAGCATCGGATCACCAGTTAGCCCAGTGTCCGGTGCGCCCAAAATGTTACGCCCGCCGGTAAATTTGGAGGTACGGATGGGCGGATTCTCATATAAGGCCAAGCTCCGTCTCATGTTACCAATCATGCTTTGTCATGGTCAGGTTTCTCATTCACTTCAGGCTCTCATTGACTCCGCGGCTGAGCAAAATTTAATAGATTTTGTGCTCGCCAAACGCCTACACTTGCCACTCGAAATGCTCGACCCTCCTATCCCAGTTACCGCTTTGAATAACCAAGTTTTCGCCCACATAACCCATCAGGTTGGTCCCGTTACCTTGCTGACTTCTGGAAATCATCGTAAAACCATAACATTGTTTGCTTTCCCCTCTCCGGATTCCTTGCTCATTCTCGGTTTCCCTTGGCATCAAAAACATAATCACCACATAGACTGGTCAGGTAATACAGTAGCCAACTGGAGTCTGTTTTGCCTTGCTCACTGTCTCACTTCAGCTCTGCCTCCTAAGTCACCGGAAGCCAGTTCCACTGAGACCTGCAACCTGGTGCGTCACTCCCCTCTAGCAGGCTGTTTAACATCTCTAAGCCTGAAAGAGAGTCTCTGGAGAAGTATATACATGAATTACAACACCCTGACCCTAATAAACCATTCATCCTAGAGGTAGACGCTTCTGACATTGCTGTTGGTGCCATTCTCTCGCAACGCATTGGGCCGAGAGCCAAGTTAAAGCCCTGTGCCTTTTTCTCAAGGCGCCTGTCGCCTGCCGAACGCAACTACTGTGTTGGTGATTGAGAGCTGTTGGCCATTAAGTTGGCCTCGGAGGAATGTCGCCACCTTCTGGAGGGAGCAGAGCACCCGTTCGTTATTTTCACTGATCATAAGAACCTCATTTACCTCAGAACAGCGAAACGGCTTAACGCCCGCCAAACCGATGGTCTCTGTTTTTCGACCGTTTCAACTTCTCCCTCTCTTTCCACCCAGGTCATAAGAACGCTAAAGCTGATGCTCTTTCCTGGCAATTTGCTCCAGACACAGACCAGACCGTACATCCTTCAGTGCTGCCCGTGGCTTGTCAAGTGGCGTTTCTGTTGTGGGGAATTGAAGAGACCATCCGACAGGCCCTCCAGGATGAACCTGACCCAGGAACAGGGCCTCCTGGACGTCAGTACGTTCCTTCGGCTGCTCGTGCTACAGTGATCAGGTGGGCACATGACTCTCGGTTCTCCTGTCACCCTGGAACTGCCCGTACCACTGCCGTGATCAAGCGTCACTTTTGGTGGGAGTCCCTGGAGCGTGATGTTCAAGAGTATGTGGCTGCCTGCAGACCCTGCGCCCGGAGTAAGACCCGCACCCAGCGACCATCTGGACTGCGGCAACCACTGTTCATACTCTCTTTGCCCTGGTCTCACATTGCACTGGATTTTGTCACCAGACTTCCAAACTCCTCAGGTAAAACGGTGGTGCTTTCTAACATCAACAGATTCTCTAAAGCTGCACACTTCGTTGCCCTGGAGAAACTCCCCACTGCTGTGGAAAACTGCCAAGTTGATGGTCGACTACGTCTTCAAGCTCCATGACATCCCTGCGGAAATCACCTCTGACAGGGGACCACAGTTTACCTCCCAGGTATGGAGATCGTTCTGCTCTGCTCTTGGTGCCCAGGTTAACCGCAGTTCCGGCTATCATCCCCAAACGAACGGCCAAACAGAGAGGCTGAACCAGGAGCGTGAGTCCACTCTTCGTTATGTCACCAATCACAACCCGGCTACTTGGTCTTCCCATCTACCTTGGGTGGAGTATGCTCACAATGCCCACGTTTCAACGTCAACCAGTTTTTCTCCTTTTGCAGTCTCCCTGGGTTACCAGCCTCTATTGTTCCCTGAAGAGGAGGCTGAGCTGGCAGTGCCCTATGTCCAACGCCACATCAGGAGGTGCCGCCGCATCTGGACCCGGGCACGGGAGGCTTTACACCGAGCTAAAATTGAATTGAATTGATGGGAACTCCTCTTTTAAGAGGTGGTTCTTATGGATCAATGACTAAAAAGAACGGACTCTTTTGGCTCCCAAACGACTCTTCGGATTTTCTTTCCATCCATCCAGCCTCTTCTGCGTAAATTCTTATGTAATAAATATAAAATGTAATTAGGTATATGTATTGTATAACAAAAAAATGAAATTTAAAGTGGATAAACAAAAACTCATTTCATGATGTTTATAAGATTTTAACTGCTTACCAGTACAAGTAGGTTAGTGCTGTGTGCTCTTATTACTTTCAATTTTTCCCCTATAAATGATGTTGGCTTAGATTGGGCAGGACTCTTGAGCAGTGCCGTTCGAGGAGGGGGAAACAAACAGAACTGAGAGGCCGTTTGGAGAGGTCAGCATCCTGTTTTCATGCTGTCGCTTTCTCCTTCACCTCAGTGCTTTCTTCTGAAAGAAGGCACTGAGGCATTTTTTAAGTAATTTAATGACACATTTCAGTGGTGTAGATTTTAAATATCTACACCACTGAAATGTGGTGTAGATATTTCAGTGGTGCAAACTTTTCCTTTTCAGGCAGGAAAAGTTTGCACTTTTCCTGCCTGAAATGTCAGCCAGGAAAAGTGCAAACTGTTTTGATAACACAGGGTCATTGTTCCTGTTATGTAAAAAATGTTGCTCAATTTGTATATTGATAAAAGTGATAATTCCCTTTAGCATTTATTATATCCTTTATAATCTCTATTCCTGTTCTTCTTCCTGGTTTCATAATATTTAGTTATTGTAGACTGTGCCAGGACTCTTGGGCAAAGGAATCTCGTTCATCAAAGCTGCTCTCTATCAACAAACTTCCTACTTTGGAAGCTCTATTGGACATTCTCTTGTCGTATGTTCTTATTTGTAGTAGTTAGCTTTTTGTGGTGGTTATGTACCTGCCAGTTCCGAGGGGCAAAGAATAGTCACAACCAGGTGATTGTGAGTCATTACGAGTTATTGAGTCACTGAGTCATTATGAGACAGACAGCATTCATCTTTAACCATTTATCTCAAACCAGGTTCAATATGAACTTATATGACAGACTTTAACATTTATGACCTCTTTCAAGGGAAACAGGCACAAAATCCAAACAGTTGATATTTTAGATCATTCACCTAATTGGTTGACAATTTGCATTAATAATGTTTTAATAGTAATTTACCATATGGAAACTGAACTTGAATATCTTAAACAATCCAAAGGTTCAAGATGAAACGGTAAATTAAACAGATACAAAATTAAATGGAATAGTAGCACCACCCCTGATGGAGGATGCATATAAAGCAGTATTAAAGAGTAATATAATTACCCAATCTGATGCACTAAAGAAGGTTAAACAAGAGAATATTGAAATATTGAAAGATATCTGGAAACATTTTGACCCTTAGTTTGATCTCCCTCTCCCCTAGTATCCCGAGATACTTAAACTCCTCCACTTGGTGCAGTAACTTATCCCTGACCTAGAGTGTGTGCTCCACCTTTTCTCAGCTGAGCACCATGGCCTCAGATTTGGAGACGATTATTTTCACTCACGTTGCCTCCCATCCAGCTGTAAATCGTGCAAGCTTGAGGCCAACACCTGATGAAGCCAACAAAACCACATCATCTGCAAAAAGCAGGAATGAGATTCTAAAACGACCTAAGTGTAAGCCGTCCTCCAGCTGGCTATACCTAGAAATTCATCAAAATTATGGACAGATTTTCAGATCTGGCTGGCTGTTCCTCTCAATCACTTTCATTGAAAACAAGAGCATCTTTTTTACCTGTGTCTAATTGGAAGATATTTATATATGTTCAAAGAAATTACTAAAAACATTGAACAAATGCTGTTCAGAAAAAAAAGTACAAACATATAAAAATTCCAGACTATGACATATTTTCCTTTAACAGTCATAAATTAGAGACAAAATGTAGGTAAGTCATTTTAAAGTATTGTATGCTAAAGATTAAATTGTTGTGCTTTATTTTTTTCTGAGGCCTTGTTTATTTGAACAGCAGCAAATTTCCGTTTTCTTATAAAGCTAAAAATGATTCTTGATCTGATGTACACATGCATCAAAAACAGTGCAGGTAAAAATCAGGCTACAGACTGTTCTAAGAGCTGTTTCTTGAGGTTTTTATCTAATTCACTTGAATGTAATCAAATATTCAGGATACGCCTGGGCATCATGAAAGACAACAAACATGGTGGGATTGGGGGTTTTGTCCACAACACTGTCGTACAGGTCAGTGGAGGCGGGGCCTTTCACTGGTGGTTCAATCATGCCTTGTTTTCCAACAGTGAAGTCACCAGTCAAAACTCGGCAGACGTATATAAACTTCTCCCCGTTCTGATTAGGCTTGGAGTAGGTATTGCTAGCAGAGTAACTTGCATTGACAGCAAAATATGTGCCATTGCCGTAGCATGTAGCTGAAAATAGAAGAGAGAGAAAAGAAGAGAAATCAATGAAAAAGATATAACATATTATCTGCCATTAAGATTATTATTATGATTAATAATAATAATAATAATAATAATAATAATAGTAATGACTACTACTATTAATAATAATAATAGTAGTAGTCACAGCACTCCAAACTTAAATACTAAAACCCAATTTCAAAAAAGCGGGGGCAAAACATTTTTTTTAATAAAACAGAAAGGAATGATTTGCTAATCTCATAAACTAAGATTCTATTTACAATGCAACATACTGTGGAGACAGACATTCAAACTGAGTGTAATAACTGAAATTCTAGTGACATTTACTTCAGTCACTGCTCTCTCTCCACTCATGGCAGTCTAACACCTCATCAACCTTACTCCAGAATTCCTCTCTCTTCTGACATCACACCTATGAGACATACATACATTTAACATTACCCTGGTCTGACATCCTCTTCAACCTTATTCTGCCTTGATGATACTATTCACACACTCTTAATTCAAGATTGCACCTAATCTGTTTTCCTTCCTGTATATACCATGGTAGAACAGGTTGAATCCATCTCCAGAGGTCCTGGCCTTGCTTCCCTTCCACCTCATCTCCTGCAGTAACAATGCATCTGTCCTCCTCCTATCTGTCATATCAAACAGCTCGCTCCCCTTTGCTGCTGCTTAACACGAATTGCACCTGTCCTCTTTATTGTCTTTAAGAAATCACCCTTACCCACACACTAGCACACTTTCCACAATAGCCTCTCTCCAACAGCACCAGAGGTGGTTGGTGTTAACCCAGTCCCCAATGGATCTGGCATGGTAATCTCAATCTTTATGATCTGCATGTTTGATTTGGACAAGATTTTCCACAGGATGTCCTTCCTTACACAACCCTCGCCATTTATCCAGGCTTGGGTCTGTTACTAGGAGTACACTGGCTTGTGCCCCACTGTAGCTGGGTCTTGAATGAGAATTATATGTTGCTCTAAAACCTGTATATATCTTTCCGCATTAGTGATATCTTTCCAAATGTGGAAGCTGTTTATTCCAAAGACAGATTCTTGGAGTCTTTTGTTGATATTATGTACTGTAGATAATGAAGTATTCAAAGTATTCTCAAATTCACATTGATTAATATTTTTTTGAAAGTGTTCAACAGTTTGCTCACTGTTGAACCTAGGCCCATTTTTCTGGGAAACTTTGCCTCTCTAAGATGGTATGTTTTATACCCTTTCATGTTACTGATCAGTTGTACTAATTAGTTGCAAAATGACCCTTTGGCTGTTGCTTTTTGGGACCACTTATTTTCCAGTCTCTTTGTGTCCCTAACTTTTTTGAGCTGTGCTGCTAAATTCAAAATGAGGTAATATTTTTTTTTATAAAAAGTCAAACATCTCAGTTTAAATATTTGATGTTTTCTGTTATGATCCACAAACATGGTCCACAAACATCTCACCATTCTTTCCTGCATAGCTCCTGTTGAAACCTCGCTTATTAATATTTGGCACATTTGTGTTGCAGGTGCCGTGGAAAAGGCGTCTCTCGTTATTCTGATGACCATTTCTCAACTCCAAGTCACGCTTCTTGATCTGTAGACACTTCCACAATCCAGGATTCTGGATACGCTCAATCTGAGAAGAAGAAAAGTGCTTTTTGTGTAGACTGATGTAAGTTTATTTTAACTACTTTTAGTCAAAATAAGTTAATCTGTTTTCCTTGAAAGAGACTTTTTTTAAAAAGCTAAAAAATTATGTTTAATGCTAATTTCATAACAGTTTGACTGCATAAATCCCTGAACATATGTACAAAAATACATTTTAAATACATTAAATACATTTTGAGTGAGAGATTCTTTTGTGGACATTTTATTACCCAAAAAACTTTTCTATGGAAGTTATTTTAAGCAAATTTGATTAAAATCATTTTTTGAAATAATCAGTCATTATCCATGCATCCACCAAAAACTTTCTGCTCTAGTGATCTGAGTGATAAATAAGAAATTAAAAGACCAAATTGTTAATGCTACCTTTGTAACATCAACAGTTTGATTGCATGATGCCTGGAACAGCTTCAGGATTTCATCATATTCTGATGTATTGGCCTGTATCGCAAAAACCTGACATGGGGTAGCTGGCATGAGTTCCCAATGCCCCGGAATGCCATCATCTCTTTTCCTGCTTAGCATCTCAGTGTTGTCTTCAATTTTGATCGTCTGAAGTTTTTGGATCAGTTTCTTGGCTAATTTTACATCAGCCTGAGTGTCACCACAAATGTGGAAGCAAGTAGCATCAGTATTTCCACCCATAAACATTTCTGAAAAAAAAAAATCAAAAACATTAGAAATTAAGGTTCAACACCAACTGGAGACACTAGAACAGTCCTAGTAGGTTTTTCTTATACATATTTTTACCTTTGATTTTGCAAATGCCTCTCCAGGCCCCCTTTCGTTTTTCCTTGGGATTAGGATCAGTAGCTGCTCTCTGTTCCAGGCTGCTGTGGAAGTCTTTTAGCATAGGTTTCTGGAAAATAACTATGCGGATTGTGGTCAGGGGACCGAAAGAGTTTTGGCTCAACACATCAATTACTGCATCCAACATGGCATCTGCCACCAGTCTTGCTTTTACATTACCTTGACCTAAAAAAAACCCATAATACTATAATTATAATTTGAAGAATTGATTTGTTAAAGGTACATGCTGAATATGTGTAGTCTCAAGGTTTGTCAGTAAGATTTCCAGGGCATCAAAGACTTTCTCTAAGTTGATGCAAGTTACACAGACAGAACTTTAGTAGTTACGTTGTCTGATAATCAGGTGTATACGCTAGCAAGTTTCATTTCTAAGGATAGACATAAGACTACAAAAACTACAGAAGTTTTTACAGTAGAAGTTGTTACAGAGTTTATATTAGCTAATCAGTTATCTTACTGAAACATAAATTTCATGTACACTGTTTTTGTTTTTTGTTTTTTTTATGGAAGTTTCCATAAATGGTAACATTCAATTCATAAATTCCAAAATTTAATGTGTGGTTAATAACAATGAAAAAAAAATGAAACACAGAAACATACCAATTCAAAAATGATGGGTTTCGCTTTATTTCCATAGTTTTTTTTTTAGTTTTTTTTATTGTGTACCATAATGGGTCCCACTGTTAACTGGATGATCCAGATTCAAAAGTTCATCTCTGTCAAAAAATCTTTAGTCATTGTAAATAACCCTGAATGCCTTTCTTTGCACCTTATTTTGGCACTCATTCCTGTTTTCTACTACCAACTTCCTGTCCGTGTGTAGAAGCTTTTATTTTGAGGGGACGATTTCCTGTAGTTTAGAAAAGTGATGGCTTAACGGAGCCTATGGTGATTTCTTTTGTCATTAGCAGCCCCCTTGATAGAGGCACAAGGTATGGTTATGATGTAAATAAGGAGACGTTTAGATGTTTTTGTGACAGTCGCTACATTTGTTAAATGTTACGTTGAAACGAACTTCATGTTATAAGGTTTACGATTGTAAGAGTGTGGATTATTTTGCTTACACGCTGTTTCTATGTATACATCCCCAGCTCTTACGGTGAGATTGATGGTTTACTGCCATTAAACCTTCAAAACGTCATCAGTAAAGTGTCATCCTTCATTCGGGGGGGTTCGCTACAGTCATTGTTACAGAAGCGTACCATCTTAGAACCTGCCTTTGGATATTTTACTTATTTTGCCAGTGCACACCCTCGTGCCCTCTACCTTAAAAGATACAAACAATTTGGTTTGGACTGCAATTTCTGTGAATCCAAGCAGACTGCAAAAAACTATCTGGCCAGGGAAATTTAGACTTTTTTTGTTTCACCATAAAGCTTAAGAGGTGTGTAGCCCTCATTTAGCAAAACAGAGCTTAGATTACGGTATTTTAAAGGCTACAGTATTGTGTGCCTATTAGTGTTTGAGGCATACTGAAGAAGAACAAATATCAAGCAGACTTATATGGAATTTCTGCATAAAAAGGGCTGAAGATCACAGAAATTCACCCACCATGGCTGCAGCACATAGATCATGATCACAGAAGATTATAAATGAAAAGAATACAGAATTCTTTTTTTTATTTTGCTAACCAAACAATTGCATTGGAATAAAGTAATGTTTAAAATGAGTTGGAAAATTTAACTATTTTAATGAAATGAATGTAATGTTTACCTTAATTTAGAAAGAAGTAGCTTTTACCCATCTTGAATAATGGTGCAATGAAAAATCCCAACAGGAAATGACTCAGGGAGCAAGCTGTGTGTGTCATGTGAGTGAGGTAGAAAGAAGATGACATGGCTGTTTATATTGAGTATACAAAAATCCTGCGCAAAAAGATCTAGCTGTTATTTCCTGCCTGAACCATCTCAACTGTTTCCTTTCAATGTGGAGGAGAACAAACCCTACTCTAAGCCCGACCCAGGTGGCTGAACTTGTCATGGATCGCTGTGTGGCAAGCAGGAGGAGGACCCAAATGCAAAACTCACAGACACGGGGATGAACTCGAGAAACTTTAATGCTGGCACGGCAGAACACAGGAAATACAAAACTAAACTGGGAAAAGTAAACTAACACTCGCAGGTAGACACAGGAAGATCCACACAACATGAGGGAGAACGCGACACAGCACTGAGGGAGATGCAGACATAAATACACCAAGGGTTAACGAGCGGAGTGGGAGCACATGGGGAACACAGGTGACACTGATAATAATCACGAGACATGGCAGGAGTGAACACAACACTGGCGGGGAGACGGGCGAGGCGAAACAGGAAGTACAGAGGTTCAGACAGGAGGAGAGCGAGCACGAGTAGAACACCAACATAACGGGCAGGGGAGACACGGAATAAACACGAAAGGGGACGAGGGCTCATGAATACACAGAGGGGCACACAGGGGGTGAGAGTCATAAAGGGAAAGCACTCAGGGAACAACACAACAGGGCAACTCAGGAAACAGAGCCTAAACAGGGAACTGAATACAAAGATACATGAGAACTAAGAATACTGGGTCAACATGGCCCAGGACCGTGACAGAACTCCTCACCCTATCTCTAAGAGAGATAACAGTCACCATTCAGAGAAAGCTCATTTCTGCCACTTTCATCCGTGATCTTGTTCTTTTGGTCACAACCCTGAGCTTGTGACCATAGGTGAGAGTAGGGACGTAGATAGACTGGTAAACACATCACCACCTCTTTTCATCACTGCAGCTACAGCCCCAATACATTTGTTGATCTCCCACAGAAATAGAACCACATTGTCTACAAAAAGCAGAGACAAGATTCTCAGACCACCCAAATGAAAGCCATCTGCTACTTGGTTACACCTAGAAATTTTGTCCATAAAAATCATTAACAGAATCAACGACAAAGGGCAGCCACATGGTGTAGACCAACATCCACCAGAAGCAAGTATGACGTAAACTCTTACAACGGTTGTATAGGGACCAAATAGCTCATAGTCAGACACCCCATACTTCAGAAGCACCTCCCACAGAATACTCAGAGGGAGACGGTCAAAGTCTATTAAACCACATGTACACTGGTTGGATGAAGTCCCATGTACCCTCAAATTTCCTCAAGAGGGTAAAGAAATCATCCAATATTCTGCAAAAGGGACAAAAACCACATTCTATTCTATTCTAATCCAGAGGTACCGCTCCAGATTTCTATTCAACATTGTAGAGGCATGTTGACTAGTGGTGCAACGGATCAAAAATCTCACGGTTCGGATCGGATCACGGTTTTAAAGTCACGGATCAGATCAATTTTCGGATCAGCAAAAATAGGAAAAAAAAGACAAAAATTCTACTCGCCGTTTACTTATTTAAGTATTTTTTGCCTATTAAAAAACATTCAACTGAAGACTCATTCCACGCACTTATATAAAACAAATTAAGGTGCAATATGGACATTATGGACCATGCTGGGCAGCCTCTGCATCCTCTGCACATGGCTATAAACAACCAGAGGAGTCTGTTCAGTGACAGGTTGCTTCTCCCAAAGTCAAGGAGCAGCAGACTTAAAAAGTCCTTTGTCCCACACGGCAACAAACTGTTTAACTCCTCGCTGGAGGGGAAACAGGGACAGAGGAGAGGGGAACAAGTAGCTGTAGTGCCTTTTCACTGTGCAATAGTTTTTGTTAATATCCAATGGTGTAATAGACTCACAATACTTAAAATGTACCGTTCCCTTGTATTCTTATTCCTATTTATTCTATTTATCCCTTTTGTATTCTCTGTAGTTATAAATGTGTATATGTGGTATATTTCTGCTCACATTTTTGCAACTTCTGTCGGTGCTGTGCTACTGGAAACTGAATTTCCCGGAGGAACCCACCCGAGGGATAAATAAAGTTTCATCTAATCTAATGTAATCTATAGGGCAGTGCAGGGCTTTGTATCTACCACTCCGCTGTGACGGTCACGTGGCTTTCCGTTGCCCAGGAGCTCCACCCATTTGTAGTTTGAGCAACAGAAGATGCCTGGGACAGTTCAGCCATAACTTTAAACTTCTCCTGCTCATACATGCTTGGAACGATGTCACTGAAGTGGACGCACAACAAGAAATCATAGCATGGCTCAAGCACGTTCATCACAGTTTAAACCCCTTGTTTTGCACAACAGACGACGGCCTCCCGTCTGCAGCTAAACACCCCATTAGCTTTATTAATAGCTTTAGCCCAGTCGGACTGGGCAGCAAAGGGCTGCTTAAATGCCGCAAACTCCTCTGCTCCGCTACTTGGACCGCTAGCGCTGGCCATAACTACCACTTGACAGACTGACTGTGCGCACCACGCACATACTTTCTTTTTTCTTTTTCGATTCTTCGGATCACGTGCGTACCGAACCATGGAGTGGGATCGGTTCAGATTTTGGATCAACCGTGATCCGTTGCACCACTAATGTTAACCAAGGCAGCCCTAAAGCATCCTTCAGGAATTCTGGGTAAACCTCATCCACCCCAGGGGCCCTGCTACCGAGGAGTTGTTTAACTGGCTTAGTGACCTCACCCTCAGTGATGGGTTAGTCATTCCCTTATCCCCCACTCTGCCACCTCTATGAAAGATGTGTAAGTGGGATCCTGAGTTGCCAGAACTGTTTTGAGGTAGTCCGAAGTGCTTTTTCATCTGCTCTAGGCATTCCAAGATCCATGTGTGAGGCCATGAGTTGTAGGTTTTCTTGTACTTAATTCAGGCAGTGCACAGACTGGTCACTCTGGTCTTACAGTTTTGAGTTACTGTCAGTGAAAAGTTTGCTTCATGTGTAAACATACTATTTGTAAACAACTATACTTTCTGCTGACAATAGTTTTTCAGTTCAGAAGTTCCTTCAGCTACATATGATGTTGGTGTTTAAAGCTTTGTCAGTAAGTAAAGATCCGGCTTAGACTGTGTGCAAATTTGACATAAAGTTAACTAGTGCAAATTCATGCATTAATATTTATAGAGTAATTGTTTTAATCGCTATTGTGCAGAGAATTGATTGGTCAGTTGGAGGTGATTTCATGTCTATTGATCCACAATCCAAAACATAATCTGTTTCATAATACACGTTTCTGGTTTGGGCTTAATGTAACTATGGTATGTAGATTTCCCATATCATGAACTTCTGACATACACGAACAAATCTCACCTGTGCCAATTGCAGGAAATGATACAGAGGTGTAGGAGCTTTTCACACACATCTGAAGTGCATCTTTCACAACCTTGTTGATTTTTACTGGGTCAGAATCTCCAACCACGTGAAGGATCTTCTTACACTTTAGGTTACCTGGCTGAGTCATTATCATGCCTGGATTGGACTTGGCACCTAAATGTGGAGATAGTGGATCTTTATGTCTTTTACCCTTAATGACCATGAGAATGCTTCATTAGGCCATATTTCCTTTATTGGCAATCTTAGAGTATGATTACAAAATTGGGCTTTATATTAAGTCAGCTTCATTTTTATTGTTGAAAAAACAAACTGTTATAGGTGGAGTCTACTCTGAGGTACAATGTTAGAAAATCTAAAAGTGATTTCTTACCAACGTTGTGACATTCCTCTTCAACAGCCTCACCAGCTGCATCTAGAATAGCTTTAGAGACTCCTGGATGAGGTTAAAAAAAATTTGATGGATTCATCTTTTCTGTAATTTCATACTTAATTTAAAAAGATGTTTAATTCTGCTATGTCCACTGTGCAGTGGTGAGGAGAGAATTATTTTTCAAAACTGTAATATTCCACTTTTTTCTATGATTTACCTGACTTAAGGGAAAAGCTTTCATTGGAAGAGTTGACAATGATATCTGTTGTCTCCCTGGTTATGTCTCCTGTGACTACCTGTATAGTCACATTTCCCATTTTAGTCTCATGCATATCTGAGGTTGAAGTGAGCTTAGAGAATGGGCCTCCTGCTGTGAACAATTGAATAAACATGAACAACTAAAGCCAACAAATTAAATTAATGGATAAATAAATAAATACACTTTTCACTTCAAAACACTTCGATTTAATGTTGGTAAAACTATTAGTTAGCTGAGTAGCAAAAAGACTATTCATTATAAGCTTTTTGAAAATATGCAATTTGTGATAAAAAATTAAAAACAAACAATGTTATGTGCCTTCAGTTTTTGTAGAACTTGAATCACCTGAGGCATTGGGAAACTTCTTAAATTCATCAGTGAAAGCCTGCAGAAACAAAACAATCTACTTCAACTGAAAAAAATCACTAATATTTAAACCAAAACAGAAGTTAAACAATGCAATATACCCAGCAGCAACCCGTAGAGTTTAAAAACAAAGTTCACAAAGAAGAGCCATTCAGTTTCCTAAAAGGCCACTTAAGGCCAGCAGTAGAGTTCATTTCCGTGTCGTGAGTCTCTCTCCAAAGACTCTACGTCAAAATGCAATTTTGCAGTAGATCCAAGCACGTTAATAGCCGGGTTAAAAAATTATCTAAATTGCTATTTATTCAAGGGTTGGGAGTCTTTGATTGGGAATCTACAGCTGTTTTACCATAGACTTCTATGCAACTGGATCTCTTTGTGAAACCAGATGCCTCCCATGTTCTTGATTAGAATTCACGTTTAAGGCATGTAAGCAATGTCTTCACTTTATGAATGCAGTATTTTTTTAATTTGCAGTCTACACTGAGACTTTATTAGGTACATTCCACTACATCCTAAAGTTGCTCCATTGGATTTTATATGGTGACTGTGAGGGCTACTTGAGTATAGTGAACTCATTGTCATGTTCAAGAAACATGTTCGAGAGGACTTGACATGGTGTATTGTTGACATGTTTCACTGTTGCTCACCAAGTGAAGCTTTGTTGGGGCGAGAGTCACAATGGAGATTAGCCAGGCCAGCTTCACGGACAGTGTTTCTGTCCAGTGTCTGTTTGTTAACAGGATGGTGCCATCAGGGAGGTCATTGGTGCAGTGAGCAAGGGACTCACATTGTGGGCCATAGCTGGGTTGTGGTGCAATGAGCTCAATGGAGAAACAGGGCAGAGAGAAGTGATTCCTTGTTCCTGGGACTAGACTGATGCGGTTTCACCGTCAGAAGAGGAATTGTTTCTGTCTCTCTTAAAATATAATGAACATTCTTCTTGGGTTTAGTATAATTTTATTGAAAGTTTGTTTTGGATTTTAGTTTAAACAGAACTTTTTTTTTAATTGTGTATATTGTGTTTACTTATTCCTGGTTTCCTTCTCTGAAAATAAACCTCGTGGTGTGACATTTAGGCCCACCAGCGTTAGGGTCTACACTTCCTTGGTATTAAGGGGCCCAGAGAAGAAAATATCCCCCAGTATCATTACACCATCAGCAGCTGCCCTGAAGCAATGATAAAAGGCAGGATGGATTCATATTTTCATGTTTCAGAAACTGCAAATTTAGGGGGATTTTTCTACATACTCATCTCTCAGTTTTACAAATAGTTGTCAGAAAAAGAGAAAATATCCTGTGAGGTTCCAGTATTATCCAGCGTTCCCTGTTGAAAATACCTTTAATGTCAGAGGTCAGAGAACACTTGCAAGACTACTTTGAGCTGATAGGAAGGCAACAGTATTTCAACCACTCATTGCAATCAAGTTATGCAGAAAAATATCTATGAAAGCACAACACATCTGAACTTGAAGTAGATGAGTTACAGAAGACCACAGTGGGGACCACACCTGTCAGCTAAGAAGAGGAAACTGAGACTACAATTCACACAGGCTCACCAGCCCTGGAGAATAAAAAACTGGAAAAACATTGTACCATTGGCCTCCACAGTTACTGGATCTCAATCCAGTAGAGCACGCTTGGGATGTACTTGAAAGAGAAATTTGGATACAAGCAGCTAATAAATCTGCAGCACCTGTGTGATGCTATCATGTCAATATGTAGCAGACTCTATAACTTGTCTAAGTATCTATGCAATGAAGCTTTGGCATATTATGAAATCTCAGTCTAAAAATATTGAATCAAAACTGACATTAAAGAGGCCTTGGCACAATCCTGTGTTTTAGATATGTAATATAGCATGTGACATCACCACTAGAAGTAGCACTATGAATAAGTCAGCAGGGAAGCAGCATTGCTAAGAAACGAAGACATAATTATATGGAAACTCCAACTTCCAAACTAATACTATTAACAGGGTCCAGTATTGTGTTACAGATAACAAAACGTAGGTACTGTTTCATCATAGAAGACTGTATGTACGGAACCTTTAAGCTGATCTTTAGTCATGCTAAATGAAGGATATGTGGAATGAAATTCTAATTTCCTTTCCTTTTTGTCAAACTTAATATAGTTTTATAACAACAGCTAACCAGTGAGTAAAAGTCAAAGTATAAAGCAAATAAAAATTTAACAAATCTCTCCAGCGTATCGCGTATCCTAGGTCTGCCCCGAGGCCTCTTCATGGTGGGACAGAGCCATGCACCTCCTGGGTGAGGTGCATGGCTCTGCTCTGAGCCCCTCCCAAATGTCCAAACTCCTCACACTAGCTCCAAGAGAAAGGACAGCCACCCTTCAGAGAAAGCTCCTTTTCACCAATTGTATCAGCAATGTCATTCTTTCAGTCACTACCCAAAGCTTGTGACCATAAGTGAGGGTATGGATGTTGATCGATTGGTAAACACATCACCACCTCTTTTCATCACTGCCCTGGAAGACCACCTTAAGAAGCCAACAGAACCACATCATCAGCACAAAGCAGAGACAGGATTTCTGAGACCGCCCAAGTGGAAGCCTTCTGCTACTTGGCTACACTTATAAATTCTGTCCATAAAATGTATGAACAGAATTGGTGACAAAGGGCAGCCGTGGCCCACCGGGAACAAATCTGACTTATACCGGCTATGTGGACTAAGCTCTTGCAATGGTTCAATAAGGATCAAATGGCCGATACTCTAGAAGCACCTCCCATGGAATACTCAGATGGACACGGTCAAATGCCTTCTTCAAGTCCACAAAGTACATGTAGACTGGTTAAGCAAATTCCATTGTACCCTCAAGCGGGTAAAGAACTGGTCCAGTAACCGGGACAAAAACCACATTGTTCCTCCTGTATCTGAGGTTTGACTAAAGGAGAGACTCTACTTTGCAGCACCCTGGCATAGACTTTCCCTGGGAGGCTGAGGGGTGTGATCCTTCTATAGTTGGAGCACATGCGTTTGGCGCATAGTAGTGCTGCCACAACGGATTATTTTGATAGTCGACTAGTCACTGATTATTTTTGCGATTAGTCGACTAATCAGATCATGTGTCCATTGGACGTAAAACGTACAGTTTATTGCACCAGCAGCATCTGCTCTTATATAACTATCATTAGCTTACAGCTTTAAGTGTTTACGGTATGTGCTAACTAAAAATAAAGACAAGATGATAGTTTATTAAATTTTAATGAAATTTGCAGATTGTTTCGGTGAAGTTTAATAAACTCAGCCGTCTGCTCCTTGCTATCTAAAATATAACAGGACACCGGAATAAATTCTCGAGCATCTCACACTTCTGATAAACAGTTGTCTGCTTGACGTTTATTCAGCTGTGTAAAAAATATAATCTCAGCCAAACCGATTTACTCGGGAACAAATAAAATACTGTGGGTTTAAAAAACGATTTGCCGGGAGTCTGGTGTTCTCACCGGCTCTAGTGAGCCTTGAACCGAGGCTAACTATCGAGCTAGTGGGTAACAGACGTTTCTGAAAACGGAGCGCTTTTGAAAATATGTGTCTTAAACTGAGCAGATATTGGAAATTTACACAGTTACATTCTCGCCTGAAAATATGTTAAACATTTATTTTGTGACCCAGAAAGAATATTAAGAGTAAAATAAAACTAACTAATTGTCGCCATTGTTGGAAACTGAGCAGGGCCACGCTGGGCCGCGCTATGAATTCTGGGATAGGTTGGGCCACTAACCGACCCATCCTTCAACTCTGGGGAAATGAAGGGCGCATTTGTTGGAGTCTTCGAATTTGGACAGTCTTCGTCGTGTCGCTGTAACGTAATCGGCCTACTAATGCGGGCACAGGAGGACGCGGGTCCTGAATTTGGACACAACTACAATACTGGACACAGCTTCTTCTTCTTCTTCGGGGTTTAACGGCAGCTGGCATCTTTGTACATGCAGTGCTGCCATCTTCTGTTTCAGTCCATTATTACACTCTTAAATCCTACTACTTATTCTTGCGCTGTTTGGGATCTTATAAAGCTTCAAACGACGCATTGACTATTAAATTAGTCGTCGACGATTTTGATAGTCGACTAATCATGATAGCCCTAGCGCATAGACATTCCTCTCCGAGGAATGTTTCTAGCACCTTGTTGAATCTAGAAGAAGAAGATGCCCACCACTTCTTCCGTTGTCCTCCACTTGTCCATTTTTCTCAGATTTTTTTGAAGAACAAACTGTGCACCATTTTGAGATGCCAAGTTATCAGCTTGAATATAATTGTGAAAAATCCTGTTTTATGTTTGTCTAACTGTGTTATCTGTGATATTTTATGTAGTCAGGCAAAGAAATGGGAACAGATGACATGCTTAAAGAAAAATAATTTAAAGTTGGTTCTTGACTAAGATGTGAATACAAAACAGTTAGTTGCCTTTGTTATGCTTGGATGATTCATAGATCAGTGTAAAGCGCCAAAAGAAACAAAACAAATTAAAAAAAATATTCTGCTGAAAATTGCCAGATACAAGAACTGGAGTGAAAATCAAGGGAAAAGCAGCCAATGTTCAAATAAGAACTTGACTTGCTGTGTATTTGAATGTGATATATTAATGTGCAAGCTTTTCTTACCTGAATACACTGTCTATCACTGGGGTAAAGTACAATATGAACCTTCTTCAGGTGCTTGGGTTTTCTCTTTTTGCTAAACTCTAAGATTTTATCCAACATCAAAGAGGCTATGACAGCTGTTGGGAAACACAGCTCTCCAGTGCCAATTGCAGGCAAGGATATGGAGGTTAGATTATTATTCTCTGCCATGTCCAAACAATCCATAAAGATTCCTTGCAAACACTGTAAGGCAACAAATAAATACTATTTAATAATAATAATGAAAGTAATAAATATAATGACATTTAGTTTCAGTAATATTCATATGTCATCAATTTTAGACTGTAGAGATTATTTAAAATATATTATTTATGATGAGAATACATTACCTCTTCAGATGTGCATTGTCCATTATCCCAGTGAGGTGCAATTGTGTGAAAAACCTTTTTGTTCTTTAGTTGGCAGCCCTCAGTAACAATGATCTCACCAACATTTCCAGTAGCACCCTGTGCATTTATTGACTGCTGAAGTTTGGGTCCAGCTGCACGCAAGATGGCTTTTGAAACTGCACCTCTGTTCAGGTTGAGGTTTGGAGGCACACTGTTTACAATCACCTCTGTCTAAAAGTTTATGAAAGTGAACATAACTATTATAAACAATAAAACAAAAAAACAATAATAAGAGAAACCGTCAAACCCTTCACTATTAAAAATAATTTATAACTAGAGGATAGGGTGATTAGTTAATCTACATGTGTACTCTTGTAGTCTGGCATCTTGTGTGAATAAAAAATCTGGCATAAAGTAACTACGTGCTCTGGATTAAGTATAATAAGAATCCTAATTACCATGGTAGCCTCTATATTTCCCTTTGTAAGAAGGATTTCCAGACCCTCTTTGGACTGTATATGATACAAGTACTGGTCAGATCCAGTAGGCTGCAAAACTGGCCTATCGACCAGTTGGACCAGGCAACCAGTTTTAGTTTTGATTGAGGAAACATACAGCGCTTCATTTTCCTGGAAGAGCTTCTTCACTCCAGACTTGAAGACATTCAGACTGTCAAAGACTACAGCAGAGACGGCACCTTCAACCACAGTCTTGCAATGTGTCACATTCACTCTGGATCCACTCAGACAGATGGCCTCATTTCTGTAAGACACTCTCACCTTGTCTTTCACTTTCTCCATCCAAGATGTGTTGAAATGTTTCAAGTATTCAACGACAGCATTAGCTTTGACCACAACAGTTTCTTCAATGTGAGCGTTCTGTGTTAAGAAGTCACCAAGCTGATGCTGAACCTTTATGGCACTATCCTTGTAGCCTGACACCACGACTTGTTGAGCAGTTGTGTTGATTCGAGTTCTGCATGGCTTACTGTTAGCCTGCTCTAAGTGACTGACCAGCTGCTGCCACTCTGGCTTCTTCAGGACATTACTGTCTTCAACATGAATGTACTGAGTTGTTAACAGCTGTCCTAGATGGTCCTGAGCATGAGACAGATCTGTGTCAGAAACAGCAAGGAGCTGCACCCTGTTTCCACTGATTTCAAACGCTGCGTTTATTCGATGAGATGTGAGGAGAGCATCTGTAAGCTCCTCTTGTTGCTCATCCTTCAACAGTTCAAGCACATTTTTATCTATTTCCAGATTCTGTCGTTTTAATGCAAGTACTGCATCAAATATAACATTGATTGCTGCATTAATCTCTTCCCCTAAACCAGTTATTTTCAGATTAGGACTCTCTGGTGACAATTTGAGCTCTGGATACACAAGTAGAAGCTTGTCCATAAGGCCATCTTGACATAGGAGATGAAAAACCGATGGTGACACTTTGATCTCTTCGGTTTTACTTGATTTCTCCCTGTGGATCTTGTTAATAATTTCAGAAAGAGATTTCTCCAGTCTGTTGACATCACTATCAAGACCAGCTACTGATAAAGCACCTCTGTCTTTATCAGGTACTACAATCACATTTTCATTCAGTAACATCTCTCTGATCTTTTTCTCAGACTCTTTCCATGCATCTGAATCTGGACAGAACTTCACAGATTTGAACTTTGACACAGATTGTGCAAACGCTGACTTCACAGTATCAGTCCACTCTTTGATGATGGCTTTGGCATCCTTTTGCTTTAGTAAAGAAGACACAGGACTCAAGGTCACAGTGGTTTGGTGGAGCTTGACGATGCAGAAATGTTTTTCCATTTCAGTACAAATGGTCTGTGCTGCTGATTTATTTTTAGCTAGGTATCTCAGGATAGCACTGTCAATGGGCTCTGAGATGGCAGCAGGAAGTTTTAGTGAAGGCTTTTCTTTGCCATAGAGGGCTCTTTTAAAATACTTAGAAAACCAATTAACTGTGGCCTCTTCATTCTTTTCAACAGCTGTAATAAAAAAACAAAAACCTTGAAAAACATGTGAAACATTGTAGATATGTAAGACTTTTTCTTCCTGTTCACTACATGCAGTGTTGGGGAGTAACGGAATACATGTACCAGTGTTACATATTTAGAGTACAAAATATGAGTAACTGTATTCCTTTACTGTTACTGTTTAAAAAGGTGGAATTCAGAATACAGTTACTTTGTAATGCCTGTATCGCAATCTCGCGGCCTCACTTGCGGCCCGCTTAATGACATGAAGAAATATTTTTTTAAAATTATTAGTCAAAAATTAATTTAATATGAGGCATATTCCAAAAGCAGTGGTCCCCCAACCCCTGGGCAATGGACCGGTTCCGGTCCGTGAGTCGTTTGGTACCGAGCTGCGAGTTGGGGCTCGGGTATGAAATGTATGGTTTTCAGGAGTTCTATTGGTTTTTATTTTATTTTATTTATCATTTTTATTGCTAACTCGGTTTCTCTGGGTCTTTTCCTGTGTGTTATGAATTAATCTTCTGTTTTTTTGGTAATTGTACTGGTTTTATTTTGTTGCATTATTATTATTATATAGTATTATTTTGTTGCCTTAAAGGCAACAAAATAATAGGCAACAAAAAAGCTTGAGAACCGCTGCCCTAAAGAATGTTTGCTTCATCGTGCTGCAGGGAGAATGGACTGCCATACCCGTTATGTGTCTTGTGAGCGCGAGGCAGGGATATAAAGGAGAGTTAAAAAATACTAGGTGTCACCGACCAGAAACGGGAGCTGGAAGCATGTAAATATAATAATAACCACTGCAGCCAAGAAGAGTGCCTGACGAGCCCAGTTGTAAGTAAGCTATTAAGACTCGACTGTACACCGTGTTCATGTTTTCCTCCGAAACAATAAGTTCAGTTGGAGCAGCCTTTCAATGCCTCTCTCTGTCTCTCACTAGCAAAGTTGACCCAGACAACAAAGTAAAGCAAGTTTTTGGTCATGAGCCTGACACGGAACCCAATGTATTAGCCACAGGTCCCTTTACTTCGGAGCCGTGAACCTGTTTTATATATGCGCGGAATAGTTTTCGTTATGAGATTGCTGCCAAGGGTCCACCCTACTGTTACTCATTTTATATTAAGATTTAAAAAATCTAGTTGGTATTGGCATGGCGAGTAACCTTCAGTAATAGTAATAAATCACACAGTAATAGTACATTCATGTAGCTGTAAAAAGCATGATAATATATTAAGTAATCCAAAGTATTCAAAATATGTTACTCTGATTGAGTAATGTAACAGAATACGTTACAAAATACATTCTGGGACATGTATTCTGTAATCTGTAGTGGAATACATTTTAAAACACTGCACCTTCCCAACACTGCATGCATGGCACATGATTGGTGTGTTGGATATTTCAGTACTTACATTTCATGTTGTTTTTATCCAATTGGACTTCCTGTGTGGAACAAATAAAAATATACATTTTATTCACCATTTTTTTTATTATACTGAAGTCTTGTGTGACCAGTGCCATAAATAGCTGTTGGTCTTAAAAGTAATATAGCCAAAAAGCCAAACCCATCTGTTCTCTGATTGGATTGCTAAATTTGTGATTGACATGACATTGACCAATCAGCTGCAAGGAAGAAAAATCGGGTCAAATTTTGTACATGTAAGCTGAGAGTTACACACAGCCAGGGAACCTGAGCGCAGAGTTTTACACATAGTTTTTTGCTTTGTATCTGTAAGCAGACCTTAACAAAAAATCTGTAACTTATATTCTCATCTGTTGATGCACAAACATTAAATTTTCACATATTTTGGTTTACAAGGTTACAAAACGCAGTTCACAAATTCGCATTTGATCTACAAGTACAAAATATTTATGACAACATTTTGAGCCCATAAAGGTACAGGAAGTATGAAACAACAGCAGAAGAGCATTCCTAAAGGAGGGTTATGCTTTAATAGACAGTAAAAGAATCGATCTGTGAGATACACTTAAAAAAGTCACCACAAGTTAAGTAAAAAAAAAAGAAAAAAAAAGGAGAGGGTTGAAAAGCAATGTTTTAGCTATGTGTTGAGCTAGAGGGAGTTATAATTGCTACTCATAAAAACAGGGTAGTACTTTGATAATGTGTATGAGTATTGTTATAATGACATATGTAGGACACTAGGCTTATTCCTGCTTGAAGCATTCTTTTTCTTCTCGTAAGGGCCAAAAGAAGCTGGTATTGTTCTTGTTTTGTATTTTGTTATTTCCTTTTCTTCACCTTTTATTTGGCTGTTCTAATAAGTTCTTTAAATGTTTGAGGCTTAAAAACAGCGTTAAACATAAGGCCACGTTTTTATTTTGCAAAGAAATCAAGGCAAACATTCTGTTTTTACAAGAAACACATTCTAATAAGGAAGAAATTGTTAGGATGCCTGGTTCGTTGACCCAGGGTTTTTGAGTTTATTATATCATTTATCATTTCTAGTCTTTGGTTTCTTTGTTAGAGTTCTTTCTTATGGTTTATGTCTCTGTGTAATCCTTAGTTGCTATATCCCCGATTCCAGTCAGTGTCTGTATCTGCCCTGGTCCCGCGTCTCTGTTCCCTCTGTTGCAGTGCCTGCCTGTGAGTCTGTGGCTGTATCCCAATTCAGGGTCTGCAGCCTTAAAGGCCGCATTTTAAGGCCGATTATGTCACCGCGACGCGACGAAGGCTGTCCCAATTCGAAGGCTGCTCGAAATGCGGCCCTCAAATGCGTCCTTCATTTCCCTGAATTTTAAGGACGTTGCGGTGTAGACTTCGTGGCCCAACATATCCCAGAATGCATAGCGCGGCGGTGGGTGTGGATAATTTTGTTCTCCCCGTATTTGCGTGGGTTCTCTCCGGGTACTCCGGCTTCCTCCCACCGTCCAAAGACATGCAGCTTGTGGGGATAGGTTAATTGGATAATTCAAATTGCCACTAGGTGTGAATGTGCGAGTGAGTGTGAATGGTTGTCTGTCCCTGTGTGTTAGCCCTGCGACAGACTGGCGACCTGTCCAGGGTGTACCCCG